ATCGTCATATCGTGTAGAATACGTTTCTTTGCCATTTTTGACTATTTTCTTAAGATACCACCGATGAATATTCTAATACTATTACATTGTATTTACTGTTAAATGTCTGAATCCTACATGTGCACTTCAGGAACAATTTTAAGTTGAATGTACACGATATACAAATGAATTTATTAAACTTTTGTTCATTTAATTCGCAAGTTTTAATATCCTAGTATAATAAATAAGTAACCATATGCCGAAACAAATAGAGTCAGTGTCAAAATTTCTATTTATACGTAAACCCGCCTCTATGAATGTAAAGTGTTATGATCCACCAAACATCACATGCTGAAAAGCCATCTTTATTTACATTGCGCCACTCGAGCCAGACCTCAAAGCGAGAGAAGGGATAAGCACAGAGAGAAGAAAGGACGATGAATTATCTGTAAGTTATATAAGTATAAAATGTTTATACTTTGAAAGTTTGCATTCATGAAAATTGACAATATTAAATGAGTTTGATTACTTTTTGATCTTCATGCGTTCACGTAACATACAGCAACTGTTCTCTGGAGCATTTGTAGGTTGGTAGATCGAAATTATTTTTTTTTTCTCTGAATTTTCATGTATGAAACTGCAGTTCGTGTTAACGAGGTTCGCCCCTGAGCTTTTGAGCAGATTTTTATCTTAACCTTTATTTCAAATATTCTAAATAATGTTTTAATTCTTACAATAAATTTGGATTCAACAATGCCAGTTAAACTATATTCAGTTAAAACTCCATGATGAAATTCCATACCAAAAGTATTAAGTGAGGAACTATATTTTGTGGCGGAAGGTTTTTTTTAGAAGAAAATTTCATTTTTTCTCCTTCGAAGTATTTAAAGTGTGTTAGGTTTAGATTTCTATTTTTACATGCAGTCTGCACACAGTTATTTTGAACAGTGAACTGTTTTATGTTCCTAAATTATAAATCAATGAAATATCATGAATTATATCATCATATTTGATAAATATAGCAAAGAAATTGTGAAAATCAAGAAAAAAATAGCCCTAAGTTAAGCTTAAAACTAGCACTATTTTAGTAATATCTAAAAATTAACATCACAGACCCCACTTTTTATCTTCTTTTCTGAATATATAAGATACGTTTAACCATTCTTCTTAAATTCAGTAAAATGGCATTACTTTTAAATGATTTTTTTGCTTGTTAAATTTTTAAAGCTAGAAAAATGAAATTTTTTGAGTACAAAAAGGTCAAATAATTGAACATGCTGAGTAATTTGAAAATTTTCTCGTTGTCACAATTTATAATGTGTCTATTCAAGATGAAATAAGACTGTGTTTGTTCCCATAATTGATTTGAATAAAAAATATTGGTGGAAAAACTTTAGAAATTAATTTATGTGTAAGACGTATTTACAGTGCAAAAAGGTCAAACTAAATGCTCTGTAGCGCCAAAAGAAGCGCATTGACCCCCATTTTTTGTTTAGATTTTTAATTAAGATATGTGTATAAATTCTAAAAATATACTTGATAAAAAAATTCTCATTACTTTAAATGGCAGGATCAAATCTCCTTAAGATTTTTTTTTCTCATTGTATTGCTTGCAGTTCTTCATATAGACATTTTATATATTCACAAATCAGCAAATACTTTAAAAGCAGGTTCCACGTTTGCATTGCTGTTTTTTTTTCTGTGCTACACCGGCGTTGCTTCTGGATTTTACATTATATAAAAAAAAATCCTGAATATTTCTCTAAAAGAATAATTAAATCAAATCAATATCTAAACACATAACGTATATTAATGTTATTCCAATGCGCGGATCTAGAGGGGGTCCGGACCCCTCCTCCGAAATTTGTGGAGTAATCAAATATAGATAGTAAACTAACAAAAAATGACCTTGTACCTCTTCCTCTCCTAAAAAGCAAGGACACCTATTAAAATAGGAGGAGAAGTAATTCTGTTGAAGCTTAAAAAGTGAATTCGAAGGAAAGCGTTTGTACTCGTCATCAAATTAGGGTCTAGATTAATTTTTAGGGGGGTGGAGCCCGCCCCCCCCCCCCGGAAAAAAATCCTAGATCCTTGCTCGATTCCGATACATAATGGAGGGATACAGAGACAGTGGGATACTTATATACCACCCTAACTTGGCTGGAGTGTCGCTAGCCAAGAGTTTGTGATTCACAAATCATTGGCTAGCAAAGATGGACCAACCCCCTCCTCCTAATAACCAAAATGTATTTTTAAAAATATTCTCCGTCAAATCTGTCATTCTTATTATTCTGTACCTTTATTAAGAATTCACTCACATATTAACTTACTATAATCGGTTAAGTAGTAGTGTATATTTGTTAGTATCGAATAATTTTTTCATTAAGTATTCTACAAATATGTAGTGACGACTATCAAAAAATCCTTACTAGGTAAATACAATATATTTTATAGTATTTTTGTTTTTATGGGTGATTATTTTCCACAGCATTTACAATTTATAAAATAACTGTATATAACTATCATCAGTAAACTTGTAGAAACTAACACGAGTCTGTACAAGCATAGAAAACAAAAGTGTGTAAACAAATACGATTAAATACAAAAAATCAGTTTTTCCAGTGTACTATATATAGCATCAAATTACACTTAAGTTTAATATCAAATTAAATTTTGACATCTAAACAGCCATGTGTTTTCCTAGTTTTGGTTTATGAATTTTTGGAGATCGAAAAGTGCACGTTGTTTTAAGATATACAAAATCAGGAAAAGCTGGCAAAAGGGGAGATACTACCAAGATAAATTAAAAGCAAAGATAGTCACCTAAAATGTGTCTCCCGAGATATGGTTGATTTGATTTTAGTAGAGCATATCATGAAAAGTAACTCAACTTAAACTCCGTCCGAATGGGCGGGGAAGGGGGTGGGACGATAAGTCCATGTCCTTTATCCACTATTCAGGTGCTTGTTGGAAGTACATTACTTAGTTTGTGGTTTGTATTGAAAATAACTAATTCTTATATACCTGCATATATTAAATATATTTCATTGAATTTTACACAAACTTCCAGTGCTCTTGGAAAGATATGACCTTAAATTGCATCGTAAGAAAAAAGAATCATCGTTCATGCGGTACTATATATAATATCCATAAGAACCGGGGAATGGAAGGGGCAATATTTTTACAATTATATACTTAACAATAGAAAACAAAGCTTATTAAAAGTCTTAACCCTAAAGAATATACATGTAAAGCTAAGTTACGGCTGTTCCCTTTTAAAAAGTAAATTGATATTTTTGATTTTGTTTGTTAACATTTTCTTTTAGGCTGACCCCCCCCCCCCCTCCTCAATTTATGTGTGTTAATTATTTATTAACTCGGCAAACATCATTCAAATGGAGTTCTGGTTTATCTACAGGAGCTTGGCAGTTTCAGCGGTCTGCACTTCTCCCGTACACCATGTTATAATCCAGTTACATCACAAAAACTGATTTCCGATACCAATGAGTTAAACCTCATTATGTTCTCCAAATGGGGCCACTCTATTTCTTGACTCTTCGCAAAATCCAAGATCTTTGGGTTTCGGGTAGACGATATCTTAAAGCATTTTTTTTTTAAATCTTAACATGAAACTATAGTGTGTAAAGGTACAACTACTCATGGGTCAGATTCAATTCTTCGAACTAGTCGTTTTCTCAATATAGAACTTGCAATTCATCCTGATAATTGCAACCGCCAAAACAAGAAACAGTTTATGATTGGAATGCATGCATTTTAAGTGGCATATTATGACGGGACAGCAGTACAAACAGTATATATGATTCAACTTCAGCGTCATACACTTTGCAGCATAGCTGGTGGATTTGTTTTAATCAAAAAACTTTAGAGACCAACTCCATTGATCAGCTTCAAACAATCGTGGGCCAGTTTTCAGTCGCAATCTCGGCTCCACAGTACCCTGCATTACAGTGGCTGGAATGGAAGACTTTCGTAAACCTCTAAGGGGAAGACAAAAGTACCACTGATTTCAAAGTACAGAGCTTGGTATTGTGTCTGCAGAAGAATGAGTTTCATTAGCAGAAGTGAGGATCAGCACATTAAAAGACGAGAAATTGTAACCAGGATAGGCCAGTTATTTCATAACCCATTGGTCTCATTGACTCTCGCAAGCATTTACCTGGTCATAAGTTTCCCATCGGGCCTGTCAATCGCTTGAATAACGTACATGTAATGACGCAGCTCTGTTTTGTATTTAGTTTCCTATTTCTTTGTCATCATAATTATTTTCTTTGTCGTTTTCAACAATATTTATTGGAAGCAAGAGGTTTGGTTTACCTTTATGAAATTAAGTTGATATACATAAACATGTATTTATTGTAGTCATTCACTGTGCAACATGTACAGATTCACACACTAATGATTTAATAAATGTCCTTAGTGATATTTTTATTCAAAATGTGTAAGGATAAAGTTAGGTTAACATTCTATTTCATCATCAAATTAATCTTAGTCTCTGTTTCTAAGACGCCATTTTTAAAAATAATAAAAAAAAGATGACGTTATTGAATAACGCCAATGACGTTATTGTTTCAATAGAACATGTTGTTTTCAAACACATATATTTTTAAAACTATTGCAAATTAAATCCTCAAATTTTGACTATGTGTCAAAAATGGGCATTATATTTCTATGCTAAGCAATAAAATTAACATTCTTTTTTTTTCAAAGCTAGTTTCTGAATAGGTAATGTGATACATGTACATATGTGCAACATAAGCCCAAAACTAACAATTGTCAATTATTCACTTCAACAGAAGCATTTCAATAATGTTCCAAATAGAATAACAATGGAATTTTAAAAAATGCAAAAAAGTAAAAAATTTAAAAATACCCCAAGGGCTTTTACTCAAATATATTTAAAAGTAAGACAATTGCAACAATTATATCAGATTCTTCCTGGTATTTCCAAAATCAATCAGGATTTGTAAATTCTGATTTTAATTTTCATTTCCTGAATTATGTTATCCATCTTTCTGCTGCATTGCATCATAATGAGAAGATTCTCCTAGCTTTTGAAGTTCCTGATATTCACCAGGGATATTTTCATAAATATTATTTGCCTCACATTGTACAGGAGTACAGAATTCTTTCGTGATTGGTGGTACCTTTGTTTCCCTTCTTTTCCTGTGAAAATATAAGTATAAAATGTAACTGATGATTAATTTCTTTCCTCTTACTATACCACAACTATAATTTAAGCATTTTATTTAAATCAAATTATTCGATAACTTTACATACCACTTCAGACAGATTATAATGATGAAAACTGTATTAACTGTAACGGAAACGAAGACAGCACCGAGCGTGCTATAAAATCTAAACCTCCAGACTGTTCCTTCCTCTGTGCTTACTACAATGAAAAAAATTATATTACTTGCTTAAAATGTACTTTATGAAGTACTGTAAATTCACTCATTTTCTGGGGTCAAATTTTCTTGGTTTGAGGAAAAAATGGTTCGTTATGCTTTGGTTTTGTGTTTATAGAAATGTTGTGTTGTTACCTGTCAATGGTATCCTATGCAAGGATGACGAACCTTTTTATTTCAAAATTTCGGATCTCTGTTTAATGTACTGTATATGATATGAAAAAAAAAAAATCCTTATTGTTTCTTCCTCATTTGTTCTCTCTTTCATTGTGCCCTGGATAGGAACGAACTCTTTTGTTTACAAAATAAGAAAATGTTGATTGTTCCTTTGAAGTTTAAAAATCTAGGGTGAAGTTCTATTACATTGATGTAAAGAAATACTGTTAAAGAGCTAGGGACAAACGTCTCAAGTAAATTTAGAAACGTTTGCCATATTCTGATCCAGTTTTTATTTTCGCTGCCTGGAGGTGTTGTAGTTGTACTGCAGTTTCAAAACAGAAAAAAATACTACATTTAAATAATTAGATGGGTCCTGCTGAATTTGAAAAAAAAAATTGACTTGAATTAAAAAAAAAAAATGAATGAGACTAAAGACTAAAGATCGGGAAAATACAGTTATTTTCTGCTTCGGAAAAAAATAACACTTGATTACTGACGTAACATGATGGGACAAATTTCAAATTTACTTATTTGAAAAAATATATAGAACATTATAACATGAAAACAATGCAAATTGAAATAAAAATGTCAAATTAAAATGTCATATAAAAAAATAAATAATCATAGATAAATAATGAATAAGCAATGGTCAAGTTATCACAAATTCCTGAATAAAGTCAATTTGAAGTGCTTGAAAATTGTTCAAAAAAAAAAAAAAATTGTCACCTTCATGGTTATTAGGAAACATTTACAAATTTTAAATAAGCAATGGTAGAGAAAATTCTTAAATTTATAATATTCAGATGCGTTCAGAATGATTTTTTTCATATTTTCTTTAATAATGTTACGCCGGGGTCCTATGGTATCGCGGTAGTTAACTCGTTCTGTAAAAATATCTAACAAAACAGGGAGTTTATTTACTAGGAACTATTTAAAAGTTGTACCATTGTTTACTTTATTACGCGAAAGAGTTCTATGGTATCGCGGTATCCGGTTGGCAGTAGTCTATGGCGGCCTAGCAGTGTCATATTTCGTAAAAAATATATATATATTAATTGTGTAACTAAACTATAATCGAACTATTATTTAATACTTTCATGTAATTAAACTATCAAAATATTGTATTTGTTAAGGATAATCAAAGATTATCAACTACTTAAGTATATAGGTTTATACAATGGGGGCACTTAAAAGTGTCTCCCCCTCTCAACACTTGCACAGTGGAACGGAGGGATAATTTTTTTTTTTATGCCAAAGAGATTTTATCCCTTGTTCTATCTTTAAGAGTTGATTTAGGAGCAGAGAATATTATAGTTGCTTTGTAGACAGACATTGATCGTTTACAAGCAATGTATGCCCTCTCAAGATTCGCTAAGTCATGCTGGAGTTTTTCTTTTTTACACTCTAAAATTAAGATAGGAATATCAATAATATTGATACAATGTGTTAAATCATTTTTTTAAATTAAAAAAATCTAATGAATAGTAAATTGTCAGAGACAACTCTGGCTACATACGGCTTCCCAATGTCATATTCCAGACAGAGATTCTGTTGTTGAATAACTGGCGATATATTTTACAGGTAAATGAATATAATTTAAATTTCTTACCAATTTCGCATTGATATCCCTGATATCCGGGTTCACAGCACTGACATTCTCCTGTCTCTACATGACAAAAACGACAGTTGTCAGGACAGGGGAGAGAACAATTAGGTCCGTAATATCCAGTTCTACAATCTTAAAAAATAATTAAACAATAATAAAAAGTGGGTTTTTACTTTATGCAAGCTTATAATTTATATTGTTGGATAAAATTTGGAGATAACAATCTGTATTCAAGCTCAAATACCATTTATATAAACAAATTAGAAGCAGTGCAAACACGGGCCTCCAAAAACATCTGAGGCTGGATCAGGTGCATATATTACTTTCTTCACAATTCACATATTGCTCTTGCATTGTATACATGTACAACTTTGTTTTGCATCAGTTTTCTGAATAAAAGTGTTGTCGATTTGAATTCGTAGTAGGGTAATTGTAACTTGGTTCTGGTTCTCTTCCAACAAAAAATAGATAAAATTTTTTTTTTTAAAAATGGTTTCAAATGGATTCCAATTGTTGGGTAATTAACGTGTATTGCAATTTGGCTTGCATGAGTGATTTTCATACCTTACATGTATATATCCCACAAAACAAATACATTTCATTCATCATCTTTAAGGGTTTTTTTCCCTCGTTTCATTTAACAGATCTATTAATTTACATAAATGTACAAAATGATTGGGGTCTTATTAAGCGAAAGACATTTAAATCTTTTATTCAAAGAGTATATTAAAGTTTTTGATGACAACGTGTATCAGCAATGAAGGAAACAACTGAATGACAAATTGTTTGCAGTATAATTTTATTTATGCAGAAGACATATTTAAATCCTTATATTTCTAGTTTATGTAGCGAATACTTTCTTTATGTAAAATTTATGTACAGAGAACATTTAAGAAATTCACTGTGACTTTTTTAATATATTTTTTTTAACTTTGTGTGGAGAACTTGGATAGGTATTGGAGGTCTTGAATCAATGCAGATTTTAGTTATCTTTGGATGAAACATTTAATCTACGAATTAATAGCAAATCAAATTTTTAACTTCCTCCATTATAAGAAACTATTCGTTATCTCCATATTTGATGATAAAACTTAACACTAGTTTCCATCTCAATAAAATCTTTCAATTCAATTTCACTGCACAAATAATATTTTTTTCTGCTAAAAAAGACGTTTCCATTAATTTTATATGTGTATGTAAATATATTTAAAAAATCCTGATATAGGTAAATAGTTTGGACGTTCATCTGATGAAAATAACCATTCTAATGGATTTAAATGTAAATGTACTTTTTATTAATATACATCAAAATTGTTTATCAAGCTTTTGCTAATTTTTGCACATATAAAATTAAGATTAAAAGGAGGTTGGTTTTTTTTACTATCTAAAATCATCAGTTGTGAATCCATGGAAACAGGGGGAAAGCTGAGTCATTTTGGCGGGTGAGGTGAAACGTCTTGTAATAGCTAGTGACGAAAGCATACATGCACATTTAATTTGCATTATATCTTGTTATCTTCAAAACCATAAGGAGCGCTCGCTCCGTGATCGGGAGGTCGTGAGTTCGAATCTCGGCCGCGACAGACCTAAGTCGATAAAAAATAGGTAGCAACTGTTCCTTCGCCATGCGCTCTGCACTTTGAAGTGAAAGTTGCGGGTCCTTCGGATGAGACCTTAAAAACCGAGGCCCCGTGTCACGGCAGGCGTTGGCACGATAAAGATCCCTCACTGCTCAATGGCCCTGAGTGCCGAGTAAAGGTCAAAATTTGAAGCCCTTCACCGGTATAAGGTGACGTCTCTATATGAGTGAAAAATTCTCGAATGGGACGTAAAACAACATACAATCAATCAATCAATCAAAACCAAAACCTACGGTGACACAGGACATCGATTTTTAAGGTCTCGTCCAAAAGACCTGAAAATTTACCTCTAAGGAAAGGTGCTTGGCAAAGGAACATTTACTACCTGTTAAACGTCTTAGGCTTGACACGGCGTCGGGAACGAGAATCGAAACCGGACCTCCCGATCAAGAAGCGAGAGCCCTTCTACTATTCCACAGCGACCAAAAATTTCTGTATATGGAATCACTCATATAGAAATTTACGCACTGCAAAAATTGTTACAATTTCTAGATTCCTTACCGAATTCACACTGGTATCCCTGATACCCGGGTTCAGACAAATGGCATCTACCCGTCTCGATATGACAAAAATGACATTTTTCTGGACAGGGGATAGAACAGTTGTGTCCATAGTATCCAATTTTACAACCTTTAAATATTTTATGAGCATTTAAACATAACAAATTTAAACATATATGTCCTTTTTTTTTCTTGATGCTGATTCATAATAAGCATACGAATAAATGTTGAAATATCAAAATGAGCATGTTCTATGTTAATATGAAAATGCACAATGACACACGGCGGAATTTATTTGTAAGATGCTACCAAACAAATGCAAAGGAAATATTTTTAGGAAGAGAAAAAAAAAAAAAATGAACACTGCTGCCTGACTTGATGAAAACATATTTTTACTGTTTTGGAACGCAATATACTAGCCTACCATAGACCTCAACCTCACAGATATCGTTGAAAGCCTTCTTGGAATATCCATCAGGATATTTAACTTTAGATAGTCTCTCATTATAGTAGATGACGTATTGCCCATGAATAATACAGGGTATATTGACAACGGCCGGTATCGTAGATTTGGTAAAATTAGTGTCATGGAAACATAGGTATCCATGTAATCGGTTGGTTGTATTTGATACATACACAGAAAATCCAAGAACTCTTTTTATGAACATGTCGGGTGCATCTGTAATTCAAAAAAATATACATTTCACAAAACACACTATATTATTTTTCTTCTTATTTTTTTTCTAATTTTGGAAAAAAAAAAGTGAAGACGCAGAACATATTTTTAGTTAAAAAATATATGTGAAATTATTATTCAAACGGTTTTGAACTTTCAAGATGCAATGCAGTTAAGTTACGTAATGGAAATATCAAGACTTTGTTTTAAAGGTGTACCCTTGACTACACAGCACTGTTAAGGCTTCGGAAAGCCAAGGCGATTGGGCTTTTCTTAGGGAGATTCTTAATGTGACATCACGAAAACAATCCCTCATAATACCAGAAAACGAAATAGATCGTGGCGTTTAACTGTGTATCAGTATTAAACTACAGAAAAGCTGCATTCATTTGGGTCGCTAGTTAAATCCTACACAGCAAAAGCACAGCAGTAGAATAGGCTTGCACCCTACTCAAAAGCAGTTACATTGTACTTTTTTCAGGTTTGTGTCACGTAAAGTGTATCAAACAAAATACTTTTTATAGCTGAATGTTGAAAATGACGCTAGTTCAAAGCATAAGCATCTTTCTGGACATTACAATTGACACACCTTAAAAGTGCTGGGAGGTAGTTTGTGCTGCTTCGAGCGTACCCTTAACTTTGCAGAAAATTTAGGGAGTAGTTGAAAATCCCCACTTGCTTCATATCTGTTATGAATAAAAATCATATAACGTAGAGCATAATCAGCTCCAAGACCTTTTAAGATATATAATATTGGTATTCAATAATTCAGCTCAGACAGTGTCTTTGTTACATTTTCTCTTGATGTGCAGTTCCATTGCCCTTAAATAAATCAAAATCTATAAAACTGCTTTTAATAAATTACTTTTAGTTTTATTGATTAAATTTCAAAATTGACGTAAAATTTGTTATGTAATTCAGTATATTTGTTTTAATTAAACCAATGGATTCACTCCTATGAACCGTTCACGGTAGCTCAGTCGGTAGAGCGCTCGCTTCGTGATCGGGAGGTCGTGAGTTCGAATCTCGGCCGCGACTGACCTAAGTCGATAAAAAATGGGTAGCAACTGTTCCTTCGCCATGCGCTCGGCACTTTGAAGTGAAAGTTGCGGGTCCTTCGGATGAGACCTTAAAAACCGAGGCCCCGTGTCACGGCAGGCGTTGGCACGATAAAGATCCCTCACTGCTCAATGGCCCTGAGTGCCGAGTAAAGGTCAAAATTTGAAGCCCTTCACCGGTATATGGTGACGTCTCTATATGAGTGAAAAATTCTCGAATGGGACGTAAAACAACATACAATCAATCAATCAATCACTCCTATGAATCACTCGTCAAGGCTAATGAGGTCATTTTTGATACACGATTTACTTCTAAATGCTCTGGTTATTGTTTGCTAATGGTGATTTATGCAATTTGTAAAATTTTTAGTGACGTCACCATGAAATTTTCTATGCGCCATGATACAGTGATGACAAAAGTGAACTCAGACCTTGCTTGAAACGCATAAACGAATCACTGATCGCAATGTTCTTGTCGACATTACGTCATCATGATAAAACTTGACGCAAGTGCAATGAGAGGCGGATCGAGTAATTTTTCACAGTGAATGTGTATTTTACTATTAAACAGAATATTATAAACAGATATTAATGGTCAATTAATAATATAAATGCTTAATCTTTATTAAGGGCCATTGTTTAATTATTATCGAGAGAATGAATTCAATTAATGATACCTAGTTTTTGTGTCAAGGGTTGGCATGTTTAACATTGAGGTGAATAGTTAAAACGCCTTTTCGCAGGGACATACACTCAACAGATCTTGACCATTTTTTTACAAAAGAAAATGAAAATATTTCTTAACCTGATAGATCCTGCTGCTTTCGTAAAATTTAGAAATGCGAATTCTACTGAGTACTTTTATATGCTGTTGTTTTCTTCAAAGTTAGCATTTACAGTCCAGCTAAATAGGGCAATTCTTTTTAAGAATTTAAACAATCTCAGAAAACAAAAAACACGGATAAAAAAAAAGCAAAAAACACATATTAATTTTAATATTTAGACTGGTAATGTGATGTGGCAATCAGGTAGTTTTAACAAATATGCATGCATTATTGAGGTCATCTATGAATTTTAATATTGCAATGGCATAATAAGTATAATAATCTTAGCTTAATCTATAAATACCTTTAGCATCTTGTGAAAAATGTTGCAAACTTAAACATATTCTACTATTGTATTATTAAAATAATCTCTTTAATACCGCATATTTAATATTTCTCTGGCCAGCCACAATTATATAAATCATAAACAGTACCAATTTTGATGCACCAGATGCGCATTTCGACAAATCATGTCTATTTAGTGATGCTCAAGCAAAAACGATGGAAGTTCAAAAAATTTAAATAAAAAAGACTTGAAAGAGCTGGGAAAAGGTGCTAAAGACTGGAGCCATATATGTCGAAGGATCAAGGCTATGCATGAGGGAGATAAGTTTAGTGTATGTTCTTGCAATAGATATATTTATTATGACCAGTTCATGAATTTTCATATAAATACACGACAATATTACTTCACAAGTTCCTATCTAGAAAAAAAAAATATGTTACTTAGAATATTGAAAAAAGGTATCACATTAAAATTTACGGTCTATTGAATATGTTAATAATACACTGTTTCATTATAAAACATATTTTTCACTGTTAAAAATAACTTTATCCACTTCTCACTGCACACTAAATGCGTCTGATTTTTGCCAGGATGACGTCATGTCGATGAGTTTAAGTCGACCAAGGCCTTGTTTATATCTAAGGACAAAGTTTCACAAGAATGTATGTTTTGATACAGCTTATTACTTTAATAGTTTAAAATTAAAAAAAAATCTCTTTTTTTTAATATTTAGAAGAATTGTTATTTATGTGTGATGTCATAGTACATTTCTCGTATAAATTAGGCCCAGCTTCCTAATATGTGACCTTTAATGTTCTATTTTCATTGAATATTTCTACCGTGAAGTAAAAAGACTGCATTGTTATAAAGTCATAACTTTTAGTAATAATTGTTCTAAAATAATTTTGTAATAAATGACCGTACCCAACTTGTTATTATCATTTCTGTGATAAATCCTTATGTCATGAATGCTGTAGACGGATGTCAGGTTCACCCACCAGGTGGCAGTTCTATGTTCTCCGGATGATAAAGTGCATTGACCTCCCCTTCCGCTGAGGTTAGATTTCAATCCATCGACGGCGTTGCTGGAGTGGAATAAACTGTTTCCTGGACGATACTGATTGGCTTGCCATGTTGGTTTATTCAAAGCAAGATTCACTAAAATGACAATTATTCTCAAGTTATTCTTTGTATTAACATAGCTTTGTCGGTAAATGACTGTAGAAAAAAAAGTATTCCGAAGATTTTTCAGTTTATTCCATATGCTGATCGTTTTATTCTTATAGCAGTCCTAGCCTTGATCTTGCCTTGTACAACAAGGAATTTTCAAATCAGTATGGAATATTGAAATGCAAATTTTTTCTCTAAATGATCCATTGAAGTGTAAGTCCTTCCGAATTTGCGAGTTATACTCGAAGAACTTTTCACACTGTATTGCGCTGTTTGACTACTACATGTTGTACTTTTTTTTAAAATAACAATACATATTAGACGTAGATTGTTGTCTACAAATGTCTCCGTGGTGTCTAAAATCAGACAGCCAAAATTAGAAACTCACCTTATGCTGCATATAATATATTCTATGGGGAATACTCTTAACGTCAGTAAATTACTGTTTAACATATACAAATAAAATACAATTCTCATATACTGCTCCACAAAATAACTCTTCTTCGTAAATGAACTGAAAACATGGAATGATCATGCTTATGTTGCATTATCAATAATTTTGCTTTGACTTTTATTAATCCTGGTGTTAGGTAAGAAATATTCAATCATTCTTATGTAACTGAAAACGGGTAATTATTTTTTCCTTACATTTGGATTTGACATATTGATATTTTTTATTGTTTATAATTCAATGCATGTATAGCTTCTGATAAATACTGTATAAAATATGGAACATCATCTCTACTTTTTTTCTAACCGTATGGTACATGTTGCATTCATATTTTTTTTTGTATTTTTTACTCTGCAATACTCTGAGGACAGTTTTGAAATATTCTTTTAATTTTATATGTCGTTATTGTTTTACCTGAAGATAGCATACCATGGTTTTACAATGCTTGTTAATTGTGATTTGGAGTAGGATCAGACAAAAAAAAAAAAAAAAAAAAAAAAAAAAAAAAAAAAAAAAAAAAAAAGATCCAGCGATCTTCATCACTGATTATTAACCAGAAAGTTTTTACTTATTTATTTTTTTTTAATTTATTTTTAGATCGATATGAATTACAACAAAGATAAAAACGCACACACCCTCACACACAAAAAATCACCAGTACAGGAGAAAGCTGTTTTAAGTTTAGCATATTTTAGCATGGGTTTAAAGTCTCCTACATGCATGGATTACGAAAGCAGCTGTACGTATCCTAAGAAGCAAAGTAACAGTAGGACAAGTTTGGCTTTCCAGAAAGCCTGAAATGTCATCTCTTTGGCTTCATTAATGTCACAGAATAAACAGTGGAATGTTATATCATTTTCTCAGCTATTACAAGCAGTAGCATCGCTTTTGAAAAAATGGGGGGTGGAGGACAAAAAAAAAAAATCGACGATTTAGCTGAACAATCTTTGACAAGGAGAAAAGGGGGCTATCCAAACTCAACATTTTTTTTTCTTGGAAGGAGGGATTACAACTTTTCCGACAAACATATTTTATATCATAATACATTCTCATGGGATGATTTGACGTACCATACTGCAACAAAAGGTGGAAGAGGGGTCAAGGGTGCGCCTTTTCAATGTTTGGGGAAAAAAGTGGAAGGGGACGGCCCTCCTGGTGCTATGTGCCTGTATTATTTTACCTGTTGTAAATATGCTTTATTCAGGTTAAATATATTTTGTATCATGTCTGTAAAAAATTCTAACCACTGAGAAATATTCGTAAGAATTATTTAAAGTCATATATTACGGTTTTTTTTAAAAAAAAATAAGTTCAGACTACCTATGTTAAAAAGATCTTTCTATTTGTTTTATTACTTTATATAAAAATAGGACTTTCCTGTAAATTACACAATTTAAATCAATCACGTTTCAAAGATATTAGAAATTTAAAGCAAAAACCGATTTATTTACCGATTCAGATTTTAATTAACAGACACAGTTTAATTTTTTTTTAATCAGTCGAACTATGGAAACATGAGGTTATTCAAATTCAAAATCGGTGAAAAATTTAATTTCAACGTAAATAACATATATCATGTTTAGCTACACCCAATCTCGTATTTTTATTTTTTAGCTCAGATACGCCATATATAGCTTTAACAATTATTCCGAAAGAAGATGGATATAAACTTAGCGTTCCTTTTGACTTTAGTTCTTAGCCGCCTACTACGGCAGCAAAGAAGTTTTAAAGCGCCAACTTAAATTAATCTGAACCTGAATTAATTCCAAGACTTTCCTTATTTTCCTTAATCGTATCGTCTGAAGTGACTTGGCCATCGAGCCACTGGGATTTGATTGATTATCGAGCCACTTTGAATATCAAGGGGAAAATTGAGACACTCCTGCATCATGTCCTTCTGCTGCCAATATGCAGATTCATGTGTTAACGCTATATTATGTATAATATAAGTACATGTACATGTATAGGCTCCTGGGAAAAAAATCATGCATAGAAAGGTAATAAAATTGAAACGTTACCATTTAAAATTAAGTATTAACACATCGAAAAGAACCCCAATCTACCAACATCGATTTTATAGGCTGTTTCATGAGACACACATTTTATAATTTTGGCTTTATTTCAAGAATACGAGGAGTGATTTTTTTTTTTACCTTTTCTCATTGACAAAAAACGCAAATTAGAATTGCATAAAGAAAATGATAACAGTTGCTTTGTTTATTAACTCTTAAAATCCGAGCCAGGTAAAGAAAACTGTATGTTTTCCTAATACTTTTCTACAGGGGCCGATAAATTTAAATAAAAAAGAATATAGTGCACACATCCGAGAAAGTACTTATATAATGATTCTTTATGATCTTTATTCCAATGCCTGCATCACTGAGTTACTTAAATCAGAGACATTTATGTTTCTGCCTAAATTGTGTTTTTAGGCAAAATTTCTTTTCTTCGAACTTTATTATAATTATTATTTTTTTTTTTTTGAATAAGTTCTGTTTTATTTTTCATATATACGGCATTAATTATCGATTGACTAAAGTACACATAAAAGTAAAGTTTTTGCCATTGTATTTATGCATTTAATGTGAGTTGTTATTTCAATGTTTTCACTGTTTTCTTTCGTCAGTAAATCTTGGATCCACGCCTTGGCTGATACATTCAATATGCCTTGCTTTGTGTATTTTGATCCCCGCGCGCTGACCATCGTTTTACGCAATAGCCTAGATGCAATGTTTATGTATATAAACCGTTAATGAAGACCCACCACCACCCAAGTGATCCTACCTCTATTACTCTTAATGAACACTGGTGTAGTTTTACTTTAACATTAAGATGGACCATTTTGTTTAATAATAATAAGAAGACTTTGGTCAATTTGGTTTACATCTCTATATTTAGAAATCGTGTCATCGTCAGTCCCTTTGCCAGCTTATCAATGGCAGCTTACACTAGGACTTTACTTCCGGTGATTCAAACTTAATGTGTCATCTCCCGAGGGAGATGACAAAGATATATATCGAGTTCTTCCTTTGTTGTTTTCTTATTCCATAAAATAGTGTTTCACAGCATTGCAAACTATTATGTATGGCATTTCCCTGTGATCAATGAAATGAAATTGATAAAAACAAAACATGTTGTAAGGATTTTAGAAATGGTATCCAAAGCTATACGTCATAACTAATTTGAACAAAAAAGAATCATCATTTTACAAAATTACATTAGCAATATTATAAGTATACTTTATTCACGGTCAGATTTTAGACTAACAGGAGGTATTCTAAGTTATATTTATTGAAGTTAATCACACACCTCTGACAAGAGATTTTTATTCCCATGCTGAGAAAAGTTCGAACTTATGTTCGATTCCCATGAATTTTACCTGGTTGAACAAATTAAAAAAAGTAAAATAAAAAAATCTTAAAGCACCTTATGTAAAATATATACATTTTTTTTTTGGTATTGAGATGAAACACTTCATGTTTTCAGCCTTTTTATAAAAAGTACATACACAGTCTTTATGGTTGGTAAATTATTCTGTTAGTTTAAGCATAGAGGGCAGTGATAAGGAAACAACAAGATAAATAAATACACATGTGATATATCAAAGCTCTAAATTCAACCAATCAAATGTTCCGGGGAAGGTTAAAGTTTTTGAAGACAGACAGGCAGACGAACAGACGGACAGTTAAAACTACATGACCCCAAATCTTCGATTACGAGTGCATAAAAAAACCTTACCATAACCATGTGTACAAGACACTGCTAATGTTAACCATGATATTCCGATACTAATTAAAGCCATATCAATAATTGTCTTAAATGTCTGTTGGATGCAGGAGAAATGCGGAGTTTAATCTGACAGCTAACTTGAATAAGCTACTGAAAGTTTTTTGTTCATGATAAACTTATGAATATGCATAAACTTGTGTAAAATCAAACAATAGAAAGCTTTGTTTATGTCATGCAGGATATGTCAGTTGCAACAATGAGGGGGACAAAAAAAAAAAAAAAAAAAAAAAAAAAAAAAAAAAAAATACTCGTCATAGATGGAAATCTCTTGAAGCAACTGACCTTTAACATTTTTACATGTACTACCAAATCAAAAAAAAAAAAAAAAAAAAAAAAAAAAAAATAGATAAAAAAAAAACAATAAATAAATAAATAAAAGAACACGTAAAAGACTTCAAATTTTGATTGTGTCGTGTTGTGTAGACTGACTGTAATGAAACTTTGCAGTTATGATTTGATATTGTCGATTTATGTCCCCTGTGCCAGAGTGTACCGTATTTGGATCTAAACATGGCTTTAAATAAGGATTGTACTTATTTAAGATGTAAATTGTTGTTATACCTGCAAATGAATTCATTATATTTTTTTTTTCTAAATAAAGCAAATAATATAAAGTTGATTTTAATATATCACAGTGTATATTAATTATCAATGTTTAAGATCCGAACATGTTTCTTTGATAGTGTAAAAAAAAAAAAAAAAAAATGAGATAAACCTTTTGATTGCAATATCACTGATCATTAGACATTTAAAATCTTTGTACATGTACCAACGTTGAAAAAAGGTTAGATTTTTGCTGATGAGATCGGAAAACCCTTCGAGGAAAAAAAAAATTAAATGCATGCATACAACTAATTTGTAGCCCTTTGTGTAATTTCTCCGTTATTGTCCTTGATCCCTGATTGATTAAATTATTGCTTTTCTTTTATTTAAATGTGATAGGAGCTTAATGTTAATGTCAAATGTACAATTTATCATGGTAAATTTAAGTAAATCTAGGCTTTTAAAAACACAAGGTAAAATGTTATATCATTACTATTTTAATAGTGTACTTATTTTACAAACTAATTAAAAATAAAAAAAGAAAAAATAGAGAAGTCGTTTCATTGCTTTATATTAATGAATTGTCTCATTTTACACTCAGATAATGTTTAGACTAGTGTTTTAGAATAGTGTAACAGGAAAAATATGTTTACACAATTATCTGATTTTTATTAAGCGCATCTTACGTGAAGGATATGAAAGCGTATTTGAAAGTACATAAGTGAACGACGCACGAAAGGATATTGAAAACA